TTTGACTACGTGGGAGTCCAGCGACATAGCCATTACACTAACTGCTGGTCCCTGAAATTGTTTCTTTCTTAACACTTTGAATATGTCTTCCTATTCTTTCCTAGCTTGCATTGTTTCTGGTGAGAGATCTGATGTTAGCCTGTTGGTATATCCTTTGTAAGTAACTTGGTGTTTTTCTCTTTCCAATTTTACTATCTTGTCTTTATTTGTAGTTTTGGCCAGTCTGACTATGAAGTACTGTGGACAGGTTTTTCTTGGGTTGATTCTACTTGGGAGTCCTTTGAATTTCTTGGGTCTGTATGTTTGAGTGCTTCTCTAGACTTGGAAAGTTTTCTTCCAGGATTTCATGGAATAGATTACCAATGTCCTTATTAGTTTCTTTGCCTTCTGGGATACCAATTATTTGGATGTTTGGGAGTTTAACGGTGTCTAGTATTTCTCTTATATTGTTCTCAATTATTTTTGGTTATTTTTTCAGTATTTTTGGTTATTTCTTTTTCTGGGTCAGAGGTTTTGTCTTCTACATCTGAGCTTCAATATTCTGCATGATCTAATCTGCTTTTAATACTTTTGAGGAAGTATCTCTATTATTAACAACATCCATAATCATAATAAGAATAATAGGTAAAATGTATTGGGTCCAGATTAGGCTCCAGATACTTTAATTAAACTTCATTTTTCTTTTCTTTTCTTTTTTTTTTTTTTTTGAGAGGTTTTTGCAATAGGGCGCGTGCGCTTGCCAGACAGAGACAGAGAGACAGAAAGCGAGAAATCACCCCCCAAGGGGAAGGGCCACACCACAATCCCTTCTCCTCCATTCTCCTCTCGGGATCTTGGGCACGCATGCACACGCACCCGGCGTGAGTTTTAAGCCACCGGGTCCAAGACGCAAACTGAGGTTGACTACATGGGAGTCCAGCGACATAGCCATTACACTAACTGCTGGTCCCTAAACTTCATTTTTGAATAATCATTTCAGGCAACAGGCCAGACTTGGCACAGGGGCCATAGGTCACCACATCCTGCTCAAGATCATTCTCCTATTTCCTTTTATTCATTGCACTTGTCTCCAGGTGATTAAGTATTCACTCATTTCAGTGAGGGTTTGTGAAACAGTGGCTGTGATTGAATCAGCACCTGCGTAGGCCTACCATAACCCACAGATCCTCTGAAGGAACATTCTTCCACATCAACCAAACTAGTGAAATGGCAACGTGGGAGAATCCATAGCCCACACATCTGTCAAGTCTAGCAGAGGGCTTCTCTGGAATTCCCAGTGTAGGACTACTTGCAAATGAAGGCTTTCAAAAGGATGTAGAGCTGCCTCTCAGGAGCTACTCCTCCATGGTGAGCAAGTCTGGGGGAGGGGCATTAATAGAACACAAGTTTCAATAGGACCTAAGATTTGTCCTTTCAGTCGAAATCTATACCTAGAATTCTAAGTCATATGCCTAGAATAGTGCCTGGCACATAAAATGGGATCAGTAGTGAACCAGTGAGTGAAAATGTAAACTCCAGAAGATATTCAATCCTGCTACCTTCCTCTAAAGTGGGAAACTAACTACTGGATGGTTGGCTAGATTCCACTAGATCTGAAAAGCAAGCTAAGATCCATACTCTGATTATCCATGAGACAGGGGATCATGGAGAAATTATAAATCACAGGACTGGGGATGAGCCCAGAGCCACTTTCCAGTAAATACTGGAAAGTGAATATAGCCCTTCTTTTAGGTGACAGGTCTTGGCTAAATGCTGTTAGGGTAAGACATGAAGTTTCATGGGCTGTACTTGTGGGATGTTAGTCTCAGCCTTCCTTGTGGACAAGTATTTCCTTTTCCTTCAAGGACCCTTGGTATGTCCTCTGATTCATGTCTACACTTGGGCTGCACTTCTCTACCAAAATGACTCAAGGATGGTCATGGTCATGAGAGCTGGAGATGATTTTGTTTAAAAAATCAACTGAGGCCTTAATGGGTAGTCCAACAATGATTTTTCTAGGCAACAAGTGATGAATTAACCACAGCTACACATCATTGTTAGTTATAACATTAATTTATTGAATTTTGTAACATTTAATCTGGTCTTACTTGTGCCATGTACTGCAATAAGAGTTTGGTGATGGGTTAAAGAAAACAAAGAGACTGAGAAACACCCTGCATCTTTGGATTTTACATTCTAGAGAAGAAGACACACAGGTAAATAATGAATATAACAAATTGTGTAGATGACATGAAAAATGCTATGAAAAAAATAAAACTAGAATAGGTAGCATAAGGGGGACTCAAAATTAAAGGCAAATGATACCTTTTTTAAAAAGAATTACTTATTTAATTTTATTTATTATTTAATTATTTAATTTTAATTATTTTAAAATATATTTATATTAAAATTTTTAATTTAAATTATTTAATTTTATTTTATTTATTCTCAGAGAGAGAAAGGGAGAGTGAAAAAGCAAGCCACCATGTCCAGGACTTGAAACGTGGTCAGCCATATGGGAGCCTAGCTCCTTAATCACCATGTTACCTGCTGGCACAAATCATAACTTTCAATAATGTCCATTAATATGGTTTTCCTGCTTCTTCCTGAGTTAAGCTCTTTGTCTTTCATAATACTTCAGGGTTATATCAGGGCTCTAACACCACTACTCCTGGCCATGGAAAACAAGGAATTTACATTTAATTGCAATGTCTTTTCTAAAACTTCTTTGCTACAGTAACCCCCAGCTTTAGACTACCTTTGGATTGATAAGGCACCTCCCTAAACTAAGTTCATGGTTCCAAGTGAACTATCTAGTATGTTAAGTGGATTTACCTAAGTTGTATCTATAATATTGTTTATACGTACTAAGCAAAATTTATCAATTCAACTAGGCCTTTATTGCCAATAGAGGAAACCATAAGCAGAAAATAAATTTCTTTTTTATAACTAAGTTTGCACTGGAGTCATGGAAATTGCTCTCCAAATATAGCATGACTGAATACTCTCCACCATGACCACATTGACAACATCATGTCTTTGAGGTATGTATCCATCAGGAATTTTCAGAGAATCCAAGGTGAAAAAGATGATACCATCTATCACCCCATTTCTTCCATATAGGCTGGTAATGCAGACCTGCAATATCAGTGATAAAAATAATTATTAAAAACATAATGCCCTGTGATAGGCTCTGCATTCCACTCAGGCTTTAATCTGTGGGTCATTGCATCCTCATCCTTGATTCCCAGCTGTGCTGGCACATTGCCAATACCACGGGTGCTTAGTAAAATAGCCAAGCCCAGACTCCACCTCAGATCAATCAAATCAGAACCTCTGGGGGGTGGGGCTTGGGGCTTGGATTAGAAATTCTGCTATAAATATTAACCACAATGACCATTAACCATTATTTCACTTAATTTTCTACTCATTTTCAGGCTGCACTACCCAAATCACACCAAGCATTTATCAGTAAACTCACATCCCACAACACATTTCTTCACTTTTTTACCAACCATTTTCTTGCACACTAGTTGTTTTTCTTCCTGTTGTTCTCAGAACATCTTAATAAAATTTGACTATCAAATAAACTACACAACATATAACTTAATGATCTGCATAGTCTCCATTACTTTTCTAATTATTTTATTCTGTATATCCTGTCTTTTCAATGAGAAAAACATCGCCTCTTTGACAAGTATAAAATTTATTTTTCTTTTTTCATTTTTTTGAAGACTTGTTTTCCTAACACATTGAATTATTAAAGTGAAAATAAATTTGGGCAACGCCACAATTTGAGAATATACAATTTTAAATATTATTTTGGCCATTTGACTTGTTAAAAGTTTTAACTGTATTAAACAGATTATAAATTATTAAATCTATAATCGTCTTACTAATGTAAGAAGAGACTCATATTATAGATTTAATAATTTATATGCAACACATTTTGTGTCATTAATGCAATAAAGTAATAATACTAATCATTGCAATAAGTTTCCCATCTTACTAAAATATATATTTTTTGGAGCCCAGGATATTTATGTTTTTATTTATTTATTTTTATTTACATTTAAAAACTACATACCTGCAGTGTACATGATTGTTCTCCATATTAATACAGTGCATATTAGTCTAGTCCAAGACATTACCATACATGTTATCATTAATAGATAACTTTTCATTTTTGTATATGTTAAATGTTCTCTCTTCCCCTGATCCGCCCCACTTCCCACTACCCATGCCCTCCTATACCATTTCTAGTATCTACAATTGTTACTCCCTCCCCCACATTTATAATTTCCACTCTTTCAGTTTCTGCTATAGAGCACAGACATTCAATAAATATTAAGCAGGTGCATACAATGTCTCTCTTTCATACCCGGTTTGCTTTGCTTAACATGAAATCTTCCATATTTGTCCACTATGCATCAAATGTCAGGGCTGAAAAAATGTGGTGCATATGCCCTATCTACTCAGCCATTAGAAACAATGAGACTTTGACATTTATGTTTTTAAATTTTTACCTTTTTTAGTGCACAATATAGTTTTTCAAAGTATGCATTCAGTACACGACAATCAGTAAGCATGAATTTTCGAGATTTCCTAGCATACACAGCAGAATCCTAGGCACAAAAATTATCACTAAAGAAAGGTTTGGAAGGAATTTATGACAAGTCCAATGTAAAAACAAGTTACCTTCTCCACATGCTTGCAGTTCATGGGCTTCACTGCGTGTACCTTGATTTTGGATGTGCCTGGCAGGAGGGAGTACTCAACTTCTAATCCATCACCCTTATAAGGCATATAACCTAATACAGTCATGCAGAAATTTTAGTGTAAGTATATGTTAACTTAGGCCATTTTAAATTTCACAAATCACTTGAATGTTGTAATGCCTTAAAATGGCTACCATTAGAGCTAACATACATTTTTAAACCTGTTTATACAGTCACCTTGTAAATCTTTCTATCAGAAGGGAAGTTTCTTTTACTTAAGACATTGATTATCTTCTACAGATTTTCAAAGTCAAATGGGAAAAAGGGTCAATTATACATCAGAAGCAATCTTTTTGGGGAGCACTATAAGATTTGTTGAACAATTGGTAACGTTCATAGCTTTTTTGGGAGAGCAATCAAGTACATAGCTAGGAATATAAATTTGAATCTGGATACTTGTATTCAAATTATGCAACTGCTACTGACTCAGTTTGCAACCTTAGAGTTGATGTTTAATTTCTCAGTGCCTCAGTTTCTTAATATATAACAGGAAATGTAAAATAATAATCCTCATAACATGGAGCTCTGTAATAATCCATGAACCTGTTTAAATGTCCCAGGATAATGTCTGGCACATAGTAATTATGAAAAAATGTTGATTACTAATAGTAGTAGTAGTAGCACTAGGAAATATGAGGATACTTCAAAAAGTTCATAGAAAAATGGAATTAAAATAAGAGTTTATTTTGGTACAAATAAGTTGAAATCCATGCATAGTATTTTCCTAATATGCATTTTGCATGAGCTTTTTAAAGAACTGTTGCATTAATATTGTGAGAATGAATAATCTACAGGTGCTTTGGTCAATTTATGAAGTCTTAATACATATCTTACAATTTATTGTCATAAATATGGAGTTTCAAACAGAATTTTCCAGTAAGTAAAAAATAAGTCACAAGACAACAAGGCTCTCATCTAGGATCTGGAGCAACTGGAAATCTCAAACACTGCAGGGAGGAGTGTAAATTGGCACAACTACTCCAGACAACTAGCAATATCCACAAAGCTGAACATTTCTTTACTCTACAGCCCAGCATTGTCAAAGGACACAAGACACTGGGTTGGACCACTTCCCTCTCTCTTTGTTAACCTATATACATTTCTTTGGTATGGCTTTATAGGTCATCTGTGGACTGGTAAGTCCAAAATGTATGTACCTCCAGCTCTAACCTGTTCAATTGCCCACATGCCCATGCTATTTTTACATGCCTAAAGCCAAGTTATTGGTATACTTCTTATTCACCAAAGTTTGTTCATCTCAGTGTACAACATCCAAATTGGCAACTTCCTCCTACCATTGGTGAAACCAAAATATTGCAGTTACCTTTGACTCTGCTTTCCTTTACATCAAAGATATATGCTATCAGCCACTGCTTTTATATCTAACTTTAAAATAGATGCAGCATCAAATCAGTTCTTATTGCTTCCTCTTGTACAACCTCATCCAAATCATTTGACCAGGATGAAACAAAGTTTGTCTAAGTGACTTCCTGACGCCATACTTATCTCACATGACCTCTCAAAGCAGACAGAGTGAAATTCTTAAAACAAAATTTGGGTAACAGTCATTGTTTCACAAAAAAAAAAAAAAAAAGAAAAAAGAAAGAAAGAAAAGAAAAGAAAAAGAAAGACAGCAAGCTACCTGGTAGGGCTGAGCTAATATCTTCTTTTTTATCAAGCTACCTGACAGCTACATTGGGCTCAAACAGCATGAATAAAGTATAACTTTTGGTAAAAACACAAGCTTAGAACATATCTGCTGATTATAAATGGAATTCAACAATGAAAACACACAAATATACACATGGAAAGCTATGAGGCTATCTCTGTAAGTTCATTTGTACATTTGAAGTATGTTCAAAATAGCATCCTTATACACTTATAGGGGTTTTTTGTTGTTGTTGTTGTTGTTGTTGTTGGTTAGAACTTAAATGCTGGGACCAGTAGGTGGCGTGGTGGTAAAGGCACTGAACCTCCACATGGCTGACCGTGGTTTGGGTCCTAGACCAGGTGGCTTGCTTTCTCACTCTCTCTCTCTCTCTGGTGAGCATAGCTTATGTGAATGAAAAATTTACCTAAATATTACTGACTACATTCAACAAAATAAACGATAGCAGTGAAACAGGGCAGGGAACTTACAAGAACCTGGCCCTAATTTTCTCTTTTTCTGTTGAGAGGAAAAATGGAAGTTTATAGGACTTAGATTAGATAAGCAGTCATTACTGACACTAGCTATTAGGGAATAGTTGAAATAACAGTAAACATGTTGCCATAAGGTTCCAAACCTCTACTTAAAGGAAAAAATAAGGCTGTAACTCAAATCTTTAAGATGTTTTGCAGGACAAGAAACAGGAAAATTGAAATTCCTGTTGGAGAACATATGATGTGACAGGGGATATTTAAAAAAATAAAAGTTAAACAATAGTTTCTTCGATGCTTAAAAACGTGGTAATTGTCCCCTCAAAGGGTAGAAATTGATTATCTAAGACCCTACCAATCAAGACATCCCACAAGATGACAATGCCTTCTTGACCCAGTCACAGAGCTGATAATATGCCTGGCTTTTAAAATGCACGCTCAGAGGCTTTCAAAGAGACCAGGTTTTTCAGCATTAGCTGCCCACTCTTCTTGTGTTGAACATGGAGACACAGCTGAACTTTTATCCACCATACACCAAGGGTTGTGTTGGAATTCGTTTAGTGATGGGTGAGTGAGCCCAGTTTGTGTTCAGTAAGAGTAGGAAGTTTTTAAAATATAACTATTATCTACTTGTCTATATAGCGTAGATTATTTTCACTTCCAAAGATCCACCTTAATTATTGAATAGCTATTGATGAGAGCCTGGTATACTGTACAAATAGTGCTAGTACTAAAATCCTCTGAAAAATTAGCATTACATTTCTCCAAATACGTAAATCATACCTTCAGAAACAATGTCTAGGGAGAAGCAAGTTTTCTTACTAATGTAGACAGCATCTGTCCTTACAGATGTAACACAAGCAGTTAAAATTCTGGTTCCAAGGTCTGATGGTTCAGAGTCAGCAGTATCATCACAGAGCACATCCACCTGTCAGATAAGGATACAGTTACTTCCAACATGACTAACATTTAAAACTGGATACTTACATGCTTAGACTACTAGTGTTCGATAATTATGTTATTTTAGTTTTAGAGAGACTTTTGCTACAGGGTGCATGTGACATGCCCGCTGGAAAGACTGAAAGACAGAAAGCAAGAAATCACCCCCTGGGGGAGATGCCATGCTGTAATTCCTTCTCCTCCTTTCTTCTCTTGGGATTTTGGGCATGAATGCACACGTACTCAGTGTGAGTTTCAAGACACTGGGTCCAGGACTTGGACCACAGTTGGCCAAGTGGGGGTCCAGCGATATAACCATTATGCCATCTGCTGGTTCCTCAATAATTATTTTAAATGACCATCGTGAACTACTGTTAATATATCCTACATGAGAAATATATTATAGACACAAGATGGCGATAAAAAATAATGTCACTACTTCATGTATTGTTAAAATGCCGGACTAGCAGATAGCATAATAGTTATGCCACTGAACTCCCACATAGTAGACCATGGTCAAGTCCCGGACCCGGTGGCTTAAAACTCATGCAAGGCACGTGTGCGTGCATGCCCAAAATCACTAGAGGAGAATGAAGGAGAAAGGATTGTGGAGTGGCCATTGCCCTGGGGGGTGATTTCTTGTTTTCTGTTTCTCTGTCTTTGTCTGTCTCTCTGGCGAGTGCATGTGCCCTATAGCAAAAATCTCTCTTTAAATAAAGCACCAAAAAACATGAATTGTCCACCCATGTTTAATAGACTCATAGTGTTACACTCAAGATGAAGATATGTCATATTTTCACTCTAAGAATTCACAATTTTATGAGAGTAAAATAAAAAAAATAACTAGTTATAAACAACTTGTGATAAAAGTTATTTTGTAAAAACGTTAAACAAGGGATTTACTAATTCCCAGGAATGAGAAAATTTCAGACTGGAGGAAAAAGAGGGCATTGCTTGGAAAAGTAAGATTTGGTCTGGATTGTAAAAGATTTTACCTGGCAAATAGGGACAGGTGAAGGCAGGACTGGGGGACACAGAGGAAAGCCAACCACAAGTTAGGGGAATAGGGAGCAAGACTATGACATTCAAGATCCAAGGCAGGGGAGCAAAAGCATGAGATAAATTTGGGAAAGTCACCCTGAATAAGGAGAGCACTAAAACCAACCAACCAACCAACAAACAAACAAACAAAACCAAAATAAGTCAAATTAAGTCTATGAAGATAAATTTTATCCAGAAAAGATGTAACTATAATAAACTAAGACCAACTACATCACAGAAAGAGGAAAAAAGTGTTGCTGGCAGTCTGCTTCTTGGCTACTTATTGTTGTCTGCAGGGCTGACCTTCACAAAGATAATCTTCTCATGATAAACTCTCGCAGCAGCTCCCTACAAGACTGGCCCCACACCTTGCCAGCACCAAGGAGGTACTATTAGTCTACTGACAATAAACTGCACCCCATAACTTTTGCTAATGGGTTTTTAACCAGACCCGTTCCTTCTCCCATTTCTCCTAGAACTCTTTCCAAACAACTTACTTACCATATCTTTCATTTCAGGTTAGGAAAAATTAACTTCTTCAGAGGAAGTGGCCAAGACAATCATTTCTCTCAGGTCCTGCTGTTCAGGGATCTGGCTGCATGTTCCAGAGTCTGACCCTTATTTTCTTTCTTTCTATTTTTTTTCTTTTTGAGAGAGATTTTTTGCTATAGGGCATGTGCCCTCTCCAGAAAGACAGAGAGAGACAGAGAGACAGAAAGCAAGAAATCACCTCCCAGGGGGATGGCCACGCCACAATCCCTTCTCCTCCATTCTTCTCTTGGGATCTTGGGCACGCATGCACACACACCTAGCATGAGTTTAATCTATGGGGTCCGGGACTCGAACTGCAGTTGACTACATGGGAGTCCAGCGACATAGCCATTATGCCAACTGCTGGTCCCTCAAACCCTTACTTTGTGCGACCTTTGTGAAAGCAATAGTTTTCTTTCTTTTAATAACTTTCTATTTGCTATTTTACTTTTTTAAAAATTGAGCTCTCAACTGCCGTTAAGATTAAGTGGAATTCCAAGTAAAATTCAGACTGCTTTTCACTTATATTTGCAAATATTTCATATTGATAATATTCCTGTCCTTGTCAGCATCTGCAAACAGGTTTTCTCCCAGGCTGCTGCTGAGAGAATATGTTAGTACCATATATAGAGTACATATTTTGATAAGAGTCATTGAGACGTCAGCAGGTGGCATAGTGGTTAAGGTGCTGGACTCCCCCATAGGCGACTGTGGTTCAAGTCCTGGATCCAGTGGCTTGAAACTCATGCTGGGCACATGTGCACACATGCCCAAAATCCCAAGAGGAGACTGGAGAAGGGATTGTGTCATGGTCATCCTCTCCAGGGAGTGACTTCTCTCTTTTTGTCTCTCTGTTTCTCCAGTGAGCATACATGCCCTATAGCAAAAATCTCTAAAAAAATTTTTTTAAATGATAGTAGTGATTGAAATAGTAAATATTCAAACACAATGATGTTTACAGGACTCTAAGTCACAAGTCATTGCACTGTACTCTGAAGAGACCCTTGTAGTATGCAAATTATATCTCAATAAAGCTGTCTTCAAAAATATTTAAAATGCATGTTTGACACAGCAATTCCACAAAATGAATGCATCCTATGAAAAATTTTTATCTGAAAACTGGAAGCCACAGGACTATGTACAGTGTAAAAATTATCATTAACCATATTTTTTGATACTATGACAATAGATATATAATTTTACTCTTAAAATCAGCAACCACTACACATATTAGGGCAAAAAACCCCACACAGTTAGGGGAGTGGGACTTCCAATTTCATTCCACATCCATTCTAAAGGTCACCTTTGAGAGCTTGGATTAATGTAAGTAAAGAACATTAAAGCCCAGCAGATTAAGAGACAATGCCCAAACACATACATGTCTTACTTTGATTGCTTTCAATCCATGAGATGCTGCGTCTTCTTCCACAACTACTGCAACTTTCTGTCCAATCTTTACTGGCACCTTGCCAGTGACAACATCATAACTGAAGTAGATTGACCCACTAATTAAGCCATAATCACCATAGAAACTTGTCACAACTCCATGTATACATTTCAAACGAGTGTTACCTATGAGGAAGGTAAACAAAGACCACATTAGTGATATGACAAAAAAAACCCACCCACTTTGAAGAAGTCACTGATCATCAGGGGAACCCTAGGCACATTTCTGAACTTTACTGATCCTGTTTTCACCTGTCAAAAGAGAACAATAACACTTTCTGCCTAATAGGTTGTTGTGAGTATTAATGTACATGTTGGCTGTTTAAAACTGTGAGTGCCTTGCAAAAGTTAGTGCAAAGATTAGTTATCACATCTGTATATAGAGAGGCTTTAAGTTTCCACTATTACTATATCCCTCATCATCTTCACCAACATAATAAGCAGCAACAGCAGTATCCATAAATCTTAAACATCTCAGCAGTCAGAGCAATAGGAGATTTAAGTCTAGCCCCAAGCCACATCTGAATTGTTCTTGTTTTTAATGTTGTTGTTTTAACTCCACACAAGCCAAGCTGATAAGTAATATTTTGGAATGCGACTTCAGCTACATGCCTGTAAAAGGGTCGGTCCCCTGCCCTCCAGACACATGAATCCTCCACTAAGCCTCAAATACATGCCCATTTTGGATACAAGATCAAATTTGCCCTCAAATTAGGAAGGCTCCTGTCTACTGGAAAAGACAAAAAGCACACGGGATATGCACGAATAGTATACTCCATCAGGGCTTAACTATACCAATAACTTCCTGCTTTGGAGCTGCATGAGAGTTTAGGATCTGCGTCAATGCCAGCTTAATTCTCAGTACCACATCTCATGTGCTCATGAATGCCTTCCTCCAAGCACACGAAAGAGCCCCTCCCCCACCCCCCCCCACCCCCCCCCCATGCCCCCCCCACCCCCAGCGATTGCCCAACCTAGGGGTGAGGAGATCCCCAATGGGAAGACTCCTCCTGCCCAGGAGGAGGGAATACACAGCGGGGTACCTTGCTGGTGCTCTGCCTGCAGTGGGCGCTGCTCCTGGGCGGGATCTTCCCTTCGTCGGAAGAAGTTCACGACCCGTCTCAGAAGCCTGAGCATGGTATCCTCCTCACCACAGACGAGGGACACTGTGTGAGGGTGAGGAAACACCAGGCTTGCTCTGCTGAGACACCCTTTGGTCACAGTGGTTCTTCAGGGAGCGGTCCCCTGTTTCTCCTCAGTGTCTGTGCAATGGGGCCAAAGCACTAGTGAGCAACGCTGAGGAGAACAAGCATGCTAACGCCACCTCAGGTGGCCCGATGCGCTCTTCATGCTCTCTCCTCTGCGCAGGAGCTTCTGAAGGGCCCGCCCTCTTCTACAATCCAGCCAATGAGGGTGCAGCACATTGGCGCGTGGTCTCCTGGAGCGAGTAGGAGGTGGTGGGCTTAGACTCCATGCCTTCTCCAATCAGTACTGAGGATCCTATAGGCTGGCCTCAGGAATGTGCCTTGTGGACTTGGACCTTATGTGTGCTGAGAGGATATAGGAGCTCTCCTATCAGTTCCCTGGAAGGACCAAAGGTCTGACTTGGAATGTGTGACAGAATGTGTGACTTGGAATGTGTGACATTATGTTTATTCATTCATTTAGTAAGTATTTATTAAGTAGTGACTATGAGCCACACACTGTTCTGGGCACTTGGAACTAATCAGTGACTAAGAGTCAAGGATCTTGTGCAGATAATTGTCTCACAGGAGATGGATAAAAGTGATAGTAAACATAACAAAGAGTAAAATACATGCTATATTGGAAAATAATACATACTATAGAATGATACTGTAGGGCAAGCATTTCCATAGTGCTAGAGAAGGGAGTTACATGGCATTTCAGGATAGGATGGTCAGAGTAAACCTTACTGAAAAGCAATAGTTGAGAAAAGTCTTGGAGGAGATGTTGGGGTCAGCCAGACACGTATTTGAGCAAGGAACTACCCAAAGAGAGGGAGCTTGTGCAAACATAGTGAAGCAAGAATGTGCCTGAGGTGTTCAAATAAAAGCAAAGTTGTTGAAGCACAGGAAGTGAGCTAGAATAGTAGGAACAGTAGTCAGAATGGACATAAGGATTCAGGCTACGTGAGACTTCACAGGTCTCTGTAAATTTTTTGGGTTTAACTGTACATGAGGTGTAGAGTTCTTGAAGTGTTTGGAGCCTTCAAAGGATCCCTCTGGCTTCTTGGTTGCGAATAGTCTAGAGGGAATGACACCCTGAATCAGGGGAATCTGTTAGGGGCATACTGTTGTAATCTAAAGCTACTGTGGATGGAATCTGTGGGTCTTTCCTGTTGTGCAGAGAGAATAGGCAAGAAGAGAGTTGAAAAAGATGATCCTCCAGTTGAGGACATGGGTCAGGAGGGGCTCAAGAATCAGGTGAGAGCAGTGCTGGGCCTCAAAGACATAACTTCAGAAAGTCCCCAGTGGGCTTCAGGGGTTCAAGGGATTTAGGGGATTTGTAGGGGTTGTGAGAATGGATTGGAGAAGCAATAGGCCATGAAGGGAGCATAGAGACCACAGCCTGTCCTTCAACATGTGTCAGCATGAAAAATCTGAGGGAGAGGAAGGAGAATGAAAGGAGGAATTTTACTAAAGGTGCTAGTAATGGGTAAGACTTTAGAGTATGTCCAGTATGTCAGCATGTTTCCTAGTGGATGGCAAGAGGGAGTTACTGTGAGTCCCTTCCAAATCTGTATGCATGGGTCCTTGGTAAAGTCCAGAGGCCAGGGCTGCTTTGGTATCGTTCACAAGAAATGCCAACCTGAGTCTCTATGAAGACAGGCCTATATCCCTTTCTGATGGAGAAGAAAGCCCCAGGTCTGCATCTCTGAGAAAAAAAAAAATCATTCATCTGTTCAAAATCTGTGGTGTCCTCAAATTTGTTACTTTTACTGTCTCTGATAATATGTATTAATTTTCTCCTGAGGTACATAGATGAGATGGGAATGGAGGCTGACCACTATTTTATTGTAAAAGGCAGTGTTTGGCTTTACTTTTACCTGGAGGAGGCTCTTGTCTCATTCAAACACAAGTTCTCCACTGTCCACAGGAGGTTGAGAAAAAGACGAAACAGCCTCTGATATCCAGAAGCAGATCTGATATAATCAAGCAAGTTTTGATGTTTCTCTGAGTTGGTGGGATACTCAGGGCCAGAGAAGTCATTTTCAAAGGACTCAGGTGTTCTCCTGTTGAACATGAATTATTTCACAGACTATCAGATAAAGCTATTCTGTTACCATGATGTATCTGCGCAACAACAACAAAAAGTTCTTCTATTTTTCTTCTCTTTCTTTCTTCTTTTGTTTCAGACAAGCTATCTTCAACGTTCATCATCTTCTGTTCTTCACGCAGCTTGTTCAACTCTTAGTCTTAAACATGTTCCTCTTCCCCAGGTTGAGTTTGTTCTCTTAGTATCACTTGCTCCCTGGAGAGCATTAATGCTTTCTCCGCATGTGCAATAAAATGCAAAACTTGGGAGCAGCAGTTGGTGTAAAGGCCATGTCGTTGGACTCCCATGTAGTTGACTGTGGTTCTAGTCCTGGACCCAGTGGCTTGAACTCACGCTGGGCGCATGTGCGTGTGTGCCCAAGATCCCGAGAGGAGAATGGAAGAGAAAGGATTGCAGCATGGCCATCCCCCCTGGGGGGTGATTTCTCACTTTCTGTCTCTCTGTCTCTCTGTCTTTCTGGTGAGCGCACATGCCCCATAGAAAAAAAACTCTCAAAAAAAAATGCAAAACTTATTTACTCTTGGAGAAAACTAAAGCTAGACTCTGTTTACTCATTCACTATTCCTGCCCATGTTACTTTGTTCTATTTTCAGAGTAATTCAGATTGTTACCTTAAAGATAATAGGACCTCAAAAAGAAAGAAATGTCTCTGCTTTTTTCCTCCACATCTAACATACCTTGCTTTGGATCACTGTGGACTTTGAGAGAACAATCCGACTCATGCTTATGGAAGTGCTTGCTTCTATAACAGAGAACAACTGGTGCCTGATCAAGCACCTGTCACACACCTAGAATCCCGATGAATCACTGTACTGTGTAAAAGACTGAACACCAAATTCCACATAAAAGAACTATTGGCAACATTTTTAGTTTTTTGTCTTTTTTTTTTTCTATAGGGCACGTGCACTTGCCAGCCAGACAGAGAGAGACAGAGAGATAGGAAGCGAGAAATCACCCCCCAGGGGGAATGGCCATGCCGCAATCCCTTCTCCTCCATTCTCCTCTCGGGATCCTGGGCACACATGCACACATGCCCAACGTGAGTTTTAAGCCACCGGGTCCAGGACGCGAACTGTGATCGACTACATGGGAGTCCAGCGACATAGCAATTACGCTAACTGCTGGTCCCAGTTTTTTGTCTTTTATACGTGGATTGTAAGTTGTCCAGAGAGACTGATAGCTGTGATACATTACAGTTTCTCACTCTCAAATTAATTTCAAACACTGTAGTAATGCCAAACACTCTCTGCTCCATGAAATGTTCTGAAATAGATAATATCTTTTCCTTCTCTCTTTTGAAATCCTGGGTCTGATCATGTTATTTATGATATAACATATCTAGATTTTACTTTTTTATTTCTCTACTTTCCTGTTTCAATAATTACCATCAGCTCTGAAATATACAAGATTCTAGCAGGAACATTGAGTGCCTCTGTGCAAGTGCACCCAGGGTGAGCTCACAAAGCTTAGTATCACCACAGAACTGGGTGTGAGATGTGCAATCTATGTCTCCACAATTCTCATTTCACATGCAGAGTTCCAGCTTGAGTGCCTAGGCCCACGTGGATATAGCCGGAGCGAGTGACCACATGAAGGAGCAAGTCAAGGTGATGCCCAATGACTACAGGAGGCATTACTTGAACCCTCTAAAAACACATCCTCCTCCCCTCTTCCAAAAAAAGCTCTCCTACCCAAAGAAAAGGGGTAAGGGTACTCTGTCCTTTTTGTCTCTTGATTGTTGGAGGAATTGTGAAGAAGAGACGTGGGTACCCTCTTCTCTTACCCATGGACTTCAGAATCCCTCTAATTGAAGAAAAGGAAAAGTTAAAAATTTTGTTCTGCCTTGATGTTTCTTCTCTGTCCTCAGCCTCCTTAGGTTTTCTGGGGGTTCCTATCCCTTTTTCTTCACATGGTCCAAAAGGCCCTTCTTCTCTTGTGGGTCCCAAGTGAGTAACACTACATTTGGCCTTCAGTATTTAGAGCCTCTAGGTAGAGACAGCTGGGTGGGTGGCTGTGCAGGAAAAAAAAGATTAAAAACTTGTATAGCCTTTTCAAGAAGGTAAAAATTATATCGATTTTTAAAAATCCCAACAAGGGCCAGAAGTTGATGTAGTGGTTAAAGTGCTAGATCCCACATGGCTAACTCCATGGTTCAAGTCCTAGACCTAGAGGCTTGGGGCCAGCAGGTGGTGTGGCAGTTAAGATGCTGGACTCCCATATGGCTGATTGTGGTTTGAATTTGGATGCTGGCAGCTTGCTTTCCCACTTTTTCTCTCTCTTTGTCTCTCTCTGGTGAGCACATGTGTCCTATAGCTAATTAAAAAATGTGTGTGTGTACCCAAAATTCTGAGAGAAGAATGGAAGAAAAGGGACTGCAGTGTGGCCATCTCCCTTGTGGGGTTGGGGAGTGATTTCTCACTTTCTCTCTCTCTCTCTCTCTGTCTCTCTCTTGCAATGGCATACACCCTATGGCAAACATCTAAAAACAAAACAAAACAAAAACACTTGATTCTCATTGTTTTTTTTTATGGCTGAGTAGTATTGCATAGTATATATGTGCCACACTTTTTCAGTCCATTCATCTGTTCTTGGATATTTGGGTTGATTCCATGTTTTAGCAATTGTAAATAATGCCACAATAAACATGGATGTGCAAGTGTTTTTTTGACTGAGTGTATACCTATTCTCAGTATGGCATTTCTACTTGTAGGTTTTTTAGGAACCTCCATATTGTTCTCCACAGGTGATACTAGAGACAGTGTTGGAGAAGGGTAATCAATGGGGGGTGGGGAGTGGAAGGGAGAGAATTGGGGGGGGGGAAATCAAAACATTTAACAAGTACAAAAATGGAAAATGATCTGTTTATT